TGGTCACAGAGGTTGGCTCAGGTTCTGGATTATCCTCTGTTTTTCAGCATTTGCTCCAATGCCCAGCAGTGGCCTTTCTCTTTGGTCTTTAGACGGTTTCAACACCAGCTCACTGGATCCCACTCTTCATGTTATCCTCCGTATCTCATGGTCTAATATTAGAGTTGTGCCATCATTTTTCTCACTCTTGACCATCACTGTTTTTAGTATGTCCCTCAACCTTGTGTTAGACACTCAGTCTCCATCGCAACACTGTCGAGAAAGACCCTCCTAAGAGGTGATGAGGTCATTAAGGCATCACCAGAGGAGTGAATGGGGGGGGGGAGTGAGTTCCTAATGAAAGGATAAGCCCCCACCCCTGATCCTTCCTTACCATCACACTTTCCACCATGGAATGAACCATCAAGAAAGTCCTTGCCAGAGGTGAACCCTTCAACTTTGAAATCCCTACGCTTCAGAATTTTCAGAAACAAATCTCTGTTCTTTATAAATCATCCATGTCAGTTATGGCATCACAAAGTGGACCAAGACCAATGTTTAGAATAAAACAATAGTTCTTCACATTCTCCCTGGGACTTCTCATTCCCTTTGCTTTATTTTTAAATTTCTCTTGAGCGGAAATTCTGTTCTTATTTGTTTACCTCTTTTGTTTTCTCTTTGAGAAACCAGATAGCTGTAGACAAGTGATGGAGTGAAGGTGTATTTATTTTGCCTTAGTACAGAGTATATTTTCATGAGGCAGGAGGCCGCACCAAGGACCAGGTAACTAATTTAGAACTTTCTACCCAGGATTTGACTGTGTTTTAATGAAGTATGATTATAGTAGTACAGGATCTACAGATAGCGTGGCATGACTCAGGATGGGAGGAAGAATGCCTTTAAGTATCATGGGGCTTTAGTTGGTTCCATTTTGTTATTACGTTTTGGGGCGGCCCCCCCCTTCCCCCCCCGCAGCTCTCAGGTCTCTGTGCGAAAGGTCAGAGTGCTCCCTGCCATCTTCTTCTGGTAGTCCTTGTCAAATTCTTCATTTTGGGCCACAGTGAAGTAGTTCTTCCAGTCACCAGGCATCCCTGAAACAAGGCAAAATCTCAGTGACTGCTGCAGGAGTCCAGGGAGAATTGAGTGTCCACCCAGGTTGTACAGTGGTGCTGCTGGCAAGAATAAGCCACGCAGCAGCAAACACTAATGGGAAAATCCAAGGAGACGTGAGAATTACAGCTTAGGACATGTGTCTCAACTACCTTTCCTCATAAAAGGGGAGATGGAGTGGTCCATGATGCTGCTGGGTAGAGTAGTATAGTTGGCCATTGGGTTTTGCTTCATGACATCAAATGAGGTATGATAGATGATTTTATTCAGAACTTCCTCTGTTACGTCTTTCTCCAGGAACTTCAGTATCTTCTCAATCTCCCTCTTTGGGTCCTGTATGTAGAACAATGACACAAAAACAAATATTTTGGGGTCTTCCATTAGGGATGATATTCTGTTTAGATTAACTGCATTTCTAAAGAGATGTGTTAAGGGATTCATTCAAACATATTCAACAAATATTCTCCAGTGTTCCTAGTGAAAGGCACTGTACTACCCCAGATGTGCAGCAACAGAAGATTGGGACTATTTCTATCATCAAGGAAATTACCCTGCAAGAAGGAAATTGGGTATAAAATGACCAATTGAGGTTCTGGTGGAGAAGGAATGTGCTTCCTGCACCCAGAGAGAGCACCAGGAGACCTCAAGAGAAGGAGAAGATCAGGGAAGGCATAGTGAGAACAGATAGTGTTGGTCAGTATGATAATCAACTCTAGTCTCTGGGCTATAAGAATTGGCAGCAAGTGGTCTATGAGTTTAATAGAAGGCTAATAAAAGGATGAGTAAAAGGGATATCCAATTTACCCAGAAATGAACATGTTTATACCTTGCTTTTTTCTGATTGAAAAAGTTGCAAGAAAAGGAGTTATAGCTTTAGATTAAATTTTAGAGAACTTCTTAGCATGGTCATAGGTGGTAGTTTTGTAATTCAAGGACATTAATCCAGACTCACAAGGGTTGAATCTGCTATCCACTCATCCACAGTGATCAGTCCACTGTCCTCATGTGTGACACTAATCCTACGGACTAGACCTCAAGTAGTGATGAGGGCGTAGGAGAGAGAAGGAAGTCGATTTCTTGAACATAACTATGCACACTTGATCATTAAGATTGCACAAATCTTCACAACGATCTCATGAGATAGAGATGGTGTGATTTTGTAGGTAAAGAAACATGGCTCCTATGTATCAGGACTCAACAAGGTGATCTGGCTAGAAGGCACAGGCTATTTCCAGAGGAAGAAGGGTCTTCTGGGAAGTGTGAACAAAAGTCAAGGTAATTCTGAAGACAAAAATCGTGTTTAGAGCTGAGGAGAAAACCTAAAGAGTGCCATGGAGAGGTTCTTCTCTGCCCCCACATCCCAGGAACTGGGAGGACATGATGGGATCATATTGCCCCTCACCTCCTTCATGTCCTCATAGAAGAGGTAGAGGATGCGGTGCTGGTCCTTCACATCCCACCATCCCTTGACGTGGTCATACCAGGAGCCCCACAGCACTGAGGAGGAGAGAGAAGGGACATCAATGTCAACATGAAACTTACCAAATGAGCATGACTTATCAAATAAAAGAGGACAGTTACTAAATACAACCAAAATACAACGATACTGCGCAGAAGGATTCTTATTGCACAAGACAGAAAACTTGTCCTTTGAAAGTATTTTGGAAGATGTGAAAAATATTCTGAATTCCCTGGGTGATATTTCCCGGGAAACTTAGTTGAACTTAGTTTTCCACAAAACATGGTCTATGGCCAGGGAATAAAAATCTTTTCCTTGCATCACCACCAGTTGCCTGGATCAATAAATATCGTTTCCAGCATGCTGATTTTGAAAAAAAAAAAAAGGCTTTTATTTTAAAGCGTCTCTAATGACCTGCTCTTTGGGCATCTTTGGTGTCAGTGATGGTGAATGGGAGGGAGAGAAGATTGCGGGGTGAACCCTCCTTTACCTCGCGTCTTTGTCTACATCGCCAGGCACTGTGCAAGTTGACCTGCACAACCTGCCACCAGGGGCTCCTTTTCCCTCAGAATTACAGGTGGACTTTACCTCAAGAAGCATTGGGAGGCTTTGGCAAGCAGGAGGAGAGGAAGAACAATACATTTATTTCACGGATGCCCCCCAGTTGGCTCACTTTGTTGATTGCTCCCTCCACCGAAGGCCTCAGCTCCTGGGAAGGGCACCTCTCCTATCTGCAGGCAACTGTGGCTCCTTCAGGAATACTTCACTGGTTCTTGCTGACTTCCCCAACTCTGCCCACAGCACTGTGATAGTCTACTTGCTGACATCTCCGGGGAAACCTCATTCTTGACATCTACTTCCTTGCCTGACCTTGACAGAAGCAATTCAGCGAAGACTCTTCTTTTCTGATGTCAACAGCTGAGTGAGTGAGAAAACAGGATCCCACAGTTTCCTTCCACTTACCTTTCCCATCTTTGAATGTTTCGATGTATTCCTCCCATGTACCAGGGTCAGGCACCATTGAATTCATTCTTGAGAAATGATAGTAGGACACCAGACAGTCCTTGGCATTTCTGGCTACATAGATAATCTGGAATCATCCAGAAAAGGGAGAGAGAGGCAGAGAGTAAGCAAGATAGAAAATCATCACCATTTAGTGCTGAGGTTGTTGTTTTTAGAAAGCTGTTTTGAGAATCTTGGATGATCCTATTGGAGAAATAGAACGTACATATGTTTTCTACAGAGTGATCATCTCTTCCAGTCTGCCTAGAAATCGTTCTGATTTGTGGCTGGTAGTCTTTGTATTACTACTGAGTACCTCTTTTTTTAAAAAAAAAAATCCTAGAATTATCCTGGTTTGCACATAGATACTGCACTCATCCTAACTTAACTTGGATTCATCCATTCAGGGTGCTCTAACGAAATACCACAGACTGGGTGTCATATAAAAACTAGAAAGTTATTTCTCACAGTTCTAGAGGTTCGACTGCCTGATCAGGTCTTGCTTCCTCACAGATGACCATGTTTTAGGACCTAAGGACCTAATCATCTACGAAAGCACCCCCATTCTTAAAACCATTACTTTGAGGGTTAGAATTTCAGTATTTGAACTTGAGGGTCATAACATGTGGAGGAGAGGTTCTCCTTGGATCTTGATAAACAAGAAATCTAAATTATAAAGTGGAAGGAGCCAAAGCAATGAGCTTATCGTCCCATTCCTGCAAGACGAATCCCAGGCTTATAGGTAAATCATCATTGCTACGTCTTATTCCTGGATAAGATTGAGGCCCTCTAAGGACAGTGCCAACTCTTCCTTTAGTGATGTCTGGGATGCTGATTCCTAAAGGAAAGGCAATGGTTTGTCCTGGCAAGGAAAAGTGACCCCTTGGCTTCTTGTCTTGCTGTCCCCCTCCTGCTCCAGCCTCTGCTGCTGTCAGTGGGGTTGGGGAGGAAGAGCACCGTGAGGATGGGCAGTGTCCCCCAAAGGTCCAGATATAAAGAGTCGGTGCTGAGGGTGGGATTACTGGACGTGCTACGGACTTTCAAGAGACTGAGCGTGGTGAGAGGAGGCCTTAGGTCATTGGAGGTGTATTCTCACAGGGGATTGTAGGACCCTGTGTCCTCCCCTTCTCTCTCTCTCTCTAGGTGAAAACTCACTCTGATATGCACTTTTGCCATAAATTGCCCTCACTGGAGGTCTAACTAAGTGGGCTGCCTGGTCTTGTATTTGACCTTCAAGCCAAAATAGTCCTCCTTTTACTTCACAAGTAGCTGTGTCAGGTATTTCATTACAGTACTTCAAAGCTAACTCATACAAGCTCAGTATTTTCTTAAGCACTTTTGCCCAGCATATCACTTTATCAACAGAATTTGTGTCCAACACAACTAATACTCAGTTATAGTTTCCTCTTGGTGAATTTCTCTCTCTCTCTCTCTCTCTCTCTCTCTCTCT